TGACTGTGTAGGGTTGGCGACTGGGGAGACACGCTCTAGCATACTGTAGCCCAGAACTCTGTGAGTAACAATTGTGTAAAGATATGTTCAACTGATATCTTTTGAATACTGAACTGAACTGTTTACTGAACTGGTATTGTTTACTGAATGAATGTATGTCCTTTATTTCTGAACTGTACTGTGGCATCTTTAGTACTTACTGTTTACTGTTACTGTTACTGCGACAGAATTCTCTGTCGGTTCCCTCGTGGAACCACTAGTGTTTACTGACTGATGGCCATCATTACTGTTCGGTCTTTCAAGACCTACTGTTACTGTTATGCTAATGGATGTACCACATATGACTGTTTACTGTACTGAACAACTGAAATACTGATTGAATTGAACTGTTTTCATTACTGTAAGGACATTCATTCTAAACCTCTTTACGCTTTATGTTATTCGCTGGGCTTTAGCTCACTGCTCATATATATATGTAGGTGTTCAGGCACCAGACCGCAGCTAGAGGCGTCAGGGTTACTCCAGTTTTGTCAAGCCAGCCTTTGTGCCTCTTGTGCCTCACTGCGAGGTTCCTAGTTGCCATGCTATGGCTTGGGGGGGGTTTTGTTTGTTTTCCCCCCCTTCTGTACTGTTTTGTACTGTTTTACTGCTCTGTATAGACCGAGTGTTACTGTACTGTTATCTAGGTCGGGTCCCTAGTCTGAATAAATGTAAATATTGTGTATACTGTTTTTGTATAAATGTATGAAAAGCCTTTTTGCATACAGACTGTCACAGCTCAATGGACACTATTTATTTACTGTATTGGCTTCCGTCAGGCCCTGTACTCTGTTTTACTGTATTACTGTTAAGCAGGCCTTCGGTAATCTCAGATTACTGGCCGGTTACGGTGCTAAACCCATAGGGCCGGGTTTGGGTCGTGACAGTGTCAGGAGATGACTGGGAGTAGATATGCGGCACAGAGGGTATATAAGCATGTCTGCGCCCCCCATACCAGAGGATGAACACTTTGTAAGGATTTTCTTACACTAAAACACCCCCCTCTCTCTCTCTCTCTATCCTAAGGTGTATGCTAACTTAATCGTCGGAGGGTTTTTCCGGCCACACACCGCCGGGTAGCTCACCATTCTTTGCGCGCAGGTGATCGGACATAAACGGAACTTGGAAGAAAGGAGTACGGACTTGTCGGAATATTTGCTTCCCGTACATATGCATATATAAAATGTTTAAAATATCATTTTTTCATCGCTTTTACTTAACAAAATTAGAAAAATAATTTAGATTATAAAAACATAAAGGATTTAAAATTTAAATCTTTAAATCTAAAATACAAAATTCATTTATTTTATTATAATAGTCAAATTCAAGATTTTTTTTTTATTATTGTTGTAATTTTCCATAAATTATATAAGTAGTTTCATTTCTTGTATAGCACGGTGCACTAGTAGTTGAAAGAAAGAAGAAAAGTAAAGAAAGTGGAGGCCAATCGGATTTGACTGTGTAGCTGTCTGTCCGCTATCTGTTATATCTTATCTTCTACCAGCTGTCTCTCTCGGCTGGCTAAATTGACTCTGGGTTTGTCGGAAAATATTTAGAAGGAAGAGGCTTCTTCTCTTCACGGTGTAGATAGAAGTGTATTATTAGACTCTTGAATTTATCACGGGTTATTTTTAATAATTCCAACAGTTTAATATATAGAGTTCGTTAAGTATTTTATACTTATAAAAAATTATGTTGAACGGATATCAATAATTTTTTGATCGGAATATATTTTTGTTAACAATTATTTTTAAAATCATATTTACAATTGACAAAAATATTTTTCGATTAAGGGGTTATCAATATCCGATCAAAGTGATTTTTTACAGACATGATATATTCGACAAATTTTACACACTGAACGGTTTGAATTATCGAAATAGAACCGGTAATGAATTTCACAAGTCCAACAATATATTCCAATTCACACAATAGACTAAAGAGAAGTGTCTCCCTATTAAAAATGCTTGTTTTTACTTTCAAAAAGTAATGTTTATGACATAATTTAAAATTAATTAAAATGTGAGTTATGTTTATAAAGACTGTATGTTATAATTCTATAATAGTGAAAAATTGTATCTTGTGGTCCTAATTTTAGGAGGAATCATATAAATTATTGTATTTTGTGTGCGTTTGATTTCTTATCTTTTAATTTTTAATTTTTTTTATATTTCATGACTCACCGATAGTGGTGTCAATCGCTAACACCATAAGCAACCTTTCTTTTGCACTTGCACATGGCAACATCTCCCTTCTCAGTGTATTTGTTGGAGTTTTTCACTCATATTTTAAAAGTTTTTTTTTTATTAGATAATAATAATAATAATAATAATAATAATAATAATAATAAAACAACATTAAACTAGTGACAAATTATTCAAAAAATTTCAATATAGGCAACGTTGATTTTTCTTGCCCTTAATTTATTATTGAGTAAATTACACTAAGCCTCTGTTTGGCAAGATGGTTTTCAGGTTTTTTTGGCTATTTTAGCCACAAAAAACAAAATAGGCTATTTTAGCCATAACAAACAAAACATCACATCCAACCCATAATCATTACATTCTTCTCTCACAAAAAAAGCCAAAAAAGCCAAAAAGCCAAAAAGCCCTTCCCAAACCAAGCTTTTTAGCCCAGGCTAAAATAGCCAAAAAAGTCAAAAAGCCAAAAAGCCAACCCACTTCCCAAACGGAGGCTAACTTCCTTTGAAATTTAAGATTGAAATTTAAAAAAAATATAATTAAGTTTATGAATTTGACATAATTACACATATCTTTTTAGTAAGATTTAAAAGATCAAAACTAATACAAATGATGGGTAGATATTGAAATAAAGAAATATAACATACATTTGACAATAATATCGGCAAATTACAAACACCCCCTCGAGATTTGGTGAAAATACAGATTTTTTCCTGAGGTTTGAGAAATTACAAATTGCCCCCTGAAGGTCAAATTTTCATAACAAATTAGGGGAAATTAGAGGGAAATCTGTATGAAAGTAAAAACCTCAGGGGACAATTTGTTATGAAAATATAAACCTCAGGGGTGGGATGTAATTTCTCAAACTTCAGGGGAAAATCTGTATTTTTACCAAATCTCGAGGGAGGTGTTTGTAATTTGCCCTTTTTGATATATATGACTCATGAATTACTGATGAAATTTTTTTCTAAATATTATTTGAATTAAAATTTTAAAAGAAACTAACATAATTATATTAAAATTATAAAATTAATTATAATTTTTCTAAACCAAGAGAGGTAAGTGTAATTTATTATTCTATATATACAAGGTTACCATCCCAAGAAGGCCCTCATTCATCAGACAATAACCACCACCTGAAGATGATGAAAGGCGGCTCTGCCCAAAGGTACGCTAAAATTTCTTGCTCCCAACGTTTGATTTATGTTGCCTCTATCTACCTATGCCCCAAAAAAATAAAAATAAAAATAAAAAATTGTGGAACTTTGAATCACTTGATGCATTTTTCTTCAAGTGTTTGAACTAAAAAAGATCGAAAAAGTTTGATTGAATTATTTGTCATACAATAAGATACTAATAGATTAGTAAAATTGAATTGTTATTACGGATCGATTTCATTATATTAATTCAGTTCTAAAATTTCACTCTACTGACATTTATATATTGCCTCAGAATTATTGGAGCAGTAAATGAGTCTGAAAAAGAAATATTTGATTGAGAGCTTAAAAAATTTGATGTTAAACGAAATTTAAATTAATCTCTTTTTCAAGCACTTGATTTCGAACAAAGATCAAATTAATTTGTTTTCATTATCTTTTGAAATGGGTTAACTCTCATCCATGATTTTGGTGGGATCTTCCATTATTGAAAATTTTGATTATTTTGACTTTTTGATCAGTAAAGATAATTTAATTTGTCTTAACAGATTGAACAATGATCAAACCATTTCAAAATTTGTCTACATTCTCAATTTTGGGGGAAAAACAAGTATTTTCCAAGAAATTCATTTTAAGTGTGCCTTACCTTCTGAAAATTAAATTTTAGCTACACATTATGTTTGTGAGTATTTTTCTATGTATGAATTTTATAATTTATAAATATTTTTTATGTGAATGAATTCTGTGCACGTATCTTTACTATAACGTTGCAGGCTACAAGGTAAGGTTGCCGTAATTACTGGTGGAGCTAGCGGCATTGGCGAGACTACTACAAGGCTTTTTGTAAGACATGGTGCAAAAGTGATTGTTGCCGATGTCCAAGATGACCTTGGGCACTCCCTTTGTGCAGACATTAACTCACAGGAATCGGTTTCCTTCGTTCATTGTGATGTTACCAATGAATCCGACATCCAAAATGCTGTAGACATCGCTATCACGAAGCATGGCAAGCTTGACATAATGTTCAACAATGCTGGTATGCTAGCATTCCTGGAAAATGTGATATGAGAATCATTGAAGCGGATGGTGAAGATTTCAAGAGGGTGTTCGATGTGAATGTCTTTGGCGCTTTCTTGGGAGCCAAACACGCTGCTCGGGTTATGATTCCGGCCAAGAAAGGCACCATTTTGTTCACTTCAAGCATATCTTCTGTGATTTCTGGTTGTTTGGCGGCACATGCCTACACGGCTTCAAAACATGCCATTGTAGGCCTTACTAAGAACTTGTGTGTCGAGTTGGGCCAGTATGGGATTAGAGTCAATTGCATCTCTCCTTTTGCTGTGGCCACTCCAATGATGTTAAACAATATGGCATGTGGTAAGGATATACAAACAAAATTTTTTGTACAGATTGGTGTAATGTTTTGTAGTCATTTTGTTTTCATCAAAACGCATATTTTTTTTGATAATTGAATATCCCTTACTATTCCCAAGACCCTTTTCATACCAGTTAGGCAAATCTTAAACTATGCACGATGGCATGGCCCCAAAGGGATTGATAGTATTCAATGAAAATCAAACTTTAAACTTATGCTTCTTGACACACCAAGGGCCAAATGACTGACCATCGAGAGTTTGTATTTCTACTCACCACATTATCTTAGTTCACGCTCTTAATTTTTTGATTTTTTTGATTCAGAAGTTAATTTTCCAACAAAACTATTTGATGTGAAAATCAACTCCCAAACCAAATATACAGACGAACTAAATAGTTTTATTCATAAGGTGATTTTCAAATTAAATAGTTTTATTCAGAAGTTGATTTTTAAATAAAAAAAAGATGTGCGTACTAAGAGGAAATGATATATAAAAATAAAAGCTTTCTCCAACCTCCAATCCAAACCCCTTGGAGTTATCGAAACACTTATTATTATTTTCATAATTTTAAAAATGTCATTAACACCTCATTTTTGAATATGTTTTCTATATAAACTTTATGTTTGTAAATCATTTTTCCTATGACACCAGGATGGGAGAAGCAGAAGGCAGAGGCGGTGTTTTCCGAGACAGCGAATTTAAAGGAGGCGATGCTCGAGAGTGAAGATGTGGCAGAGGCAGCGTTGTACCTTGCAAGTGATGAATCCAAATATGTGAGCGGTTTGAACCTTGTGGTCGATGGGGGATACTGCACAACCAATCCAACTTTTGGAGAGGCCATGAAGAAATTATCATCTTGAACCACTATTGCATCAAAATGCATAATAAATGAACTCCTATTTGTGCTTTTTGTTTTCCTAAAACGAATGATTTTGTAACTCAATTATGATTATCAAGATCAAATGATAGAGTGGCATGGCATTTTACCCAATTGACTGATCAATGATATTAAAATTGTGATTTAATTTTATTAAGTATATATTTGGGCCAAGTGTACTTCGTTTTGTGTCTCAAAATACTTATAATGGTTAGACTGAGAATATTAAAATATAGGAATCTCCAGGCATAAACCAAGAATTGAAAGTGTTTTAATAAGTTATACAAATCAATTTGTATAACTTAATATAAATTTAAGATAAATTATGTTCATACTTTATATATACAACAACAAATAAGGTTGAAGCTAGGAAGCTGACAAAATTAACTAAAAGATAAGTTATTACAAAAAATATTAAAACGTTCAATAATTAGAAACTAGAAATTCAGTAGGTGTTTGAAAAGTTGTTATTTTAGTAGGTTATTTTAGTTTTTGACTATTTTAGTAGGTTCAAATTTTTACATTTGGAAAGAGTTGGATTTTTCTATAGTTGGATATGATATTTGTGAGAGAAAAAGTAACATGATTATGGATTTGATATGACATTTAATCTTATTAGCCATTTTAGTCTATTTTACCTTTTTGTGAATTTTAGCCAGAAAGTAAAAAAAAAAGCTTTTGCTAGTAAGATTAGTATAAGTGATAAATTTTCTTTGCAATTTACCCAAAAATAAAAGATTTTCTTTTTTAAAAAAAAAAATGTAAATTACGTTCACTTCCATTGTAATTTAAAAAAAAAAAAACATAATTAATCTCACACTTTTAATATAATTATACTAACTTTTTATTTGGCATATTTAAAGCAACCAGAACTAAAGCTTCGTTTGGCAACATCATTTTTTAAGTTTAAAAGTCAAAAAATTATTAAAAAAACTAAAAAATCAACAATTTATATCAAAAAGTCAAAGATTCTATTTTGTCTCTACTTTTTGCACATCTTTTCGTAAAAAATCAAAAAATCATCCTAAACATACTAGTTTTTTTATATCATATTTTAGTTAAAAAATCAAAAAATTACTAAAAAAGTGTTCCCAAAAGAGGCCTAATGCTAATTATAGATAGACATTGAAATAAACAAAAATGAATATATATTAGTAAGAAAGAGATGCCATGTTCTCATTTATAGATGATCTAAATAAATATATTTTTTAATTTTTTATAAAAAAATATATTAAAAAAATAAACAAATGATATAATCTAAAGAAAATAAAAAGATAAAAAATGTGCTTATATAACACATCTCAAACAAGTTCTAAATTAGTGTAATTGCATTTACTCAAAATAAAAATATTAAAAAAAAGAGTGTTGGGCCGGGCCGGCCCAGCCCATTTTCACCTCCTCAGCTCTCACGTGATGTCCACGTGTGCAAAATGGAGCTTTAGCAATCTATACGCTTGAGTTGTATATATTAATAATAATAATCTCTGATCCAACCGAGTCAAAAAAGTGTAAAACGAACCACCGCTCGAACCACCGCTTACCGAGTCAGCGCCGCCACTCGAGTCGGCGGGCAGTCAATCAAACCACCCCCCTTGTTTGGATGCGCGGCCCAATCCACCCCCGTCCACGATATCCTCTCCTCCCTAAGCGGTGGCTTCTATCTTTAAAATTCAATAACATGTCATCACTACCACCACCACAAACCACCACCACCACCACCAACCACCATGGTCGCCTCCTCTTCTTCTCCTCAGGACCCACCAAAACCCCCCTCACGGCGGCTCCCTCCGCCGTGCTGGTCGCCGGACGAAACAGTGGCCTTGATCGACGCTTACCGTGATAAATGGTACTCTCTCAAGAGAGGAAATCTTCGAGCCTCTCACTGGCAAGAGGTCGCCGACGATCTCTCATCCCGATGTCCGATCTCCGCCGGAAAATCGCCCAAGACCTCCGTACAGTGCCGCCACAAGATGGAGAAGCTCCGGAAACGGTACCGGGCTGAGATTCAGCGTGCCCTAGCGATGACCCCTAAAGGGCAACGGTTCAATTCCTCTTGGGTTCACTTCAATCGCATGGATTTGATGGAAAAGGGTCCGAATTCTGTCTCTGTTATGGTTGATTCGAGCTCTATCGATGAAGATGATGATGATGAAGAGGATTTGTATCAAAGCGTGAAGCGTGGTGTTACTGAGAATCGGAGTGTTCATGGGTCGACGAGCAATGGGATCGGCGGGTTTAGGATCAAAATTCCCGGTCGATCGAGTGTTACAGTGGTTCCTGGGACGAAAAAATCTTATCATAACCCTAACCCCAACCCTAATTTTGTGTCTACTAGGGTTGTGAGAGATGGGTATTCAGAGAGGTTAGGGTTGGGGAAGAGAGGCGGTGGTGATGGGGTGGGGATGAAGAGAGAGGGGGACCCGGTGGCGGAGATGGTGGCGGCGATTAAGGGATTAGGAGATGGGTTTGTGAGGATGGAGAGGATGAAGATGGAGATGGCGAGGGAATTCGAGGCAATGCGAAGGGAGATGGAGATGAAGCAGACCGAGATGATTCTCGAATCACAGGAGCGGATTGTGGAGGCCTTTGGGAAGGCTTTATCGGAGAAGGGAAACAAGAAGGCTAAGAGAATGCCCACGCCAGAAGCTTAGATTTTGGGCTGCCAAGGGAATTGCAGAGTTCATAGTTGGCAGATTCAGAGAAAAATGCATTTTCAGGTGTTGTGGAGCTCTCTGATGCTGGCAAACTTGGGTTCGCATAGCTCTTATATGTAAGTTGTCTTTTTTGTAGCTTTGTCTCAATTGATTTTTAGGGTAATTGAACAATTGAAACAGAATAGTTGTAGCTAGTTTTGGATGAATGTGGGTTCATTTCAAACTTGACAATCAAAGTGTTCTTTTATTGTTTTTGATTTTTTGTATGAGAGTTATGCTTTTTATCCAATTGCATTAGTTTGTGATGGCTACTTGACTGGAAGACAGGAAACTTGCAATTGGTTTTGATGGCTAGAACTTGATTTGATGTCTATTGTTTTGGTACTTAGTTTGCTAGTATAACTGGAGTTGGGAGATAGAGATTGGGATACAGTATAGGAATTGAAATGGAAGATATGATACTAAAGATTAGTTTGTTTGTGAAGTGTGGTAGAGGAATTCTTCCTAAAAAAGATGTTCTGATGGTTGTTGGCCATTTCAAAAGCATTTGAAGAGTCGATTATTATATCCAAATGCAACAAAATGCTTGGTGCTTGTTTCTTAAATTCAAGAAAATATTTCATGTTGTAAATAAATTACATTTTCTTTTAAAAGAATTTCAAGAGGTTTTGCCCAAGTATTTTGTTGGGGTGCCAAAATGGTTTCCCCAAGTATTTAGCCGGTGTTTGGATCATGGGTTTTGATAGGGATTTGGAAAGGGAAAGGTAAAGGTAAAAAGTGAGGACAATATGAATGAAATATAAGTAGATGGAGGCAGGCCACTATGTCAAAATCATATTTCCTTGATAGATAATAGAGATGAGCTGCCATCCACGTATGATTGAGTTGATACTTTAGTAAATAGAGTATTGCCTATAACAGTTTTCCTAGTACTTGTGTGATTATATATGTATATATATATATATCATTGCCTGGTGGTGGTGATTAGAATTTAGAAGTATGGAATCATTACTTTGTATTGTATAAATTGTACTCCAAATTCTAATTGAACTTAGATTATGTAAGTTTTGTTGGTTGCTCTAATCTTTGAGATTTTTGTTTTTGCGTAGTGTGTGTGTATTATTGGGTGAAATTCTAGAAGAGAGTTGAAAAGGTTTTATTTTGGGTCTTTAGGGCTTGTTGTGCATGGCAGAAGGGCAAGTATGTGAATATTTCCTTTGATGCTGTACAGTTGATAATTTCTTCATCTTTGTCAATCATATCCTTTCATTAAATGATATTTGGGAGATATGCTTCATTTAAATTGTGAAAAAAGGTTGTCCATTCTTATTGAATATTTTAGTTCATCTGAGATTGAAGCTTTAGTTGTAGAAGTTTGTTTTGTGACTTCTTTTATCTTTTGTGGTTATGATCTCAAGATCGAGATGTTAATCCATTTTAGTTTGTCAAGTTGGCTGGTTGAATTTCCATGTTTAGTTTAGTCCATTTGTGTTAGCATAGAACAAGTCAAAGTTTGGCAATTGGTTGTGCAAGTAAAAGGTTGTGAATTCCTTTAGGAATTGCGTACATAAGGACACTTTGGTTTTTCCTAGGATACTCTTATTCAGGCACAAGAGTGATGTGATTTTTACGTAATCTACTGATATATCACTTTTGTTTTTCATTTGTTTTCAATAAATACTTCAAAGGAAATGCAAGACCGGATATTGATATTGTTAGTGTGGTGGACATGCTGTGTTTATACCCTTTGTATCCCACTCTCTACTTGGGTTTCATTAGTCCCTCATATGGAGCATATCATGTTTGAGTGAATTATTAGTTCGTATTCCAATTTTCTTTGCCAGACGTGGATTATGCATTTTGTTAGATGATTAATCCAACCCTAAGACCATATCCGCCTTAACAAACATGGCCTAAATGTATTGTTGCGTATTGTTGCTAGTGATTGAGGGATTTGTAAAAGAAACCTAATCTGAAAAATGTCAATATGGATGGATTATCATTAATGGCAAATAATGTCAACATTTAAGAAATCTCGTCTAGGTCTTTTTAAGAACTAGCGAGTGGTACATACGATGCGTGTGCAATTCAAAAAAGTAAGAAAAAAAGAAAATAATAATGAAATTAATACTATATTGTCTACTTAGCTTAAGTGATATGAGTCCTCTTACCTTAAACCTATGGTCATGGGTTCAAGCATTGCCCACCTCTGTGTAACCTTTTTAAAAAAAAATAATAAACAGTCACGTGACATGAGGAGAGCAAATGCTTCACCACTTCAACTGAGGCCTTCACTTAATAATAGAATAGATGTATGGGTTTTTGGGATATAGAACTCGGTGTTCATGAGAAACTGACAGTCTTGAGACTATGTTCAGATCGGATGATAAGAATCAAAGGAAAAGAATAGGAATCTCATTTTCAGGATTCCTTTGTCAATGAAATTTAGGAGTTTGGATGGAGCACAGTCGAAGAGAGGAGATGAGCCAAAGCCAACCCCATGTCATGAATGTAGAAAAGATGATAGATGATTGTTCTCTCTTCCTCCATTATTTATTTATTTTATTTTTTTTGTGGAGTGTGTGTGTGTGAGAGAGAGAGAGGGATAAGAATCAATGTATTGGGGGGATTGCTTTTGGGAGAGGATTTGGATTAGTGATTGATTATGTATGGAGGGGATGAGACGCAAAGTATGGAGGGGATTGATTTTGGGTTTGTAGTGGTCATAAGAGGGTAATGGTGAGGGGCCTGAGGTTGCCACCAAGTGGAGAAGGGTTGGGTGTAGGAGGGTAGTAAGGTTGCAACTGTTACTGATGTATATACATATATTTTGTGTCTATAATATTGTATCTGTTGAAGCTAGATATTGTAGAATAAAATTTTTTTTAATTATTGAAGCTTTGATATGCGTACATATATTTGTTTTAGTTTAAAGCTCTTTAATTGATGAAACTCTTATTAATTGTTGAAATTAGATTTTGCCTTTTGTAATATGGAATTGAATGGTTGGTTGTTGCTAATTACAAAGGCAGTGATTGGAGTTGTTTTGTTGTTGGGTTTGCATGCTTACTATATATTCATATAGACTTGCTTACTGTGTTTGAAGCTCTGTAAATTCATATATTCATAGAGCTTTTGTATCAGATAGGTTTAGACGAAAATCATGACCTCCTTCTTGCCATTCCCATCCTCTGCCTCTGTTTGAAACCTCTTTTTTTCTTTTCCCCTCTTTGAAACCCTTTTGCCTTCTACAAAATTTCTGTATCATAGTTGTTTAATTTGATGGTGGGTTTTGTCATGTTGGTGATGTGTGGTTGTGGCTGTGATTTGATGTTGGGTTTTGTAATGGTGGTGATGTGTAAGGCGAGGTAAAGTAAGGTTAGGGATTGGAAGAGAAGCTGCAAGGGATCAGAGGGTAATTTTGGCATTTCAAATCTTTCTTTTGTTGAAGAAATCATTTTCTGTTTGGGTGACTGACGGCTTACTAATAAATGGACTTAATTGTTATACATATTTTAAAAGGATGGGAGGGCAACAAGATTTTCGTGATAAAGGGGTGTCAGTGTGATTTTAGAGAAATAGAAGGGGTGTCTGTGTAATTTACCCTTGACCCAATGGTAGCCCTTTCCTTTCTAGTTTTGACACTTTGGTAGGTATCTTAATCCGGGCAGCCTATAAGTCGTCCCCTCCGCGGCTTAAATTGCAATGCTGCACCCATCTGATCCCATGCTCACATAGCTATGTTATATTCCATACTTGGTATGATGGCTGACTCTGATACCCAATGATACAAACTTCTAAGTAGGGTGCATGCTAAGTTATATGGATGGGATTTGGTGTAACTAGTTTCGTGTTTCCACAGTGCTCATCTAAATATTTTTAAATTTGGACTATGACTTTACACATATTACTTGTATTTCTATGTCGATAGAAGCTTTTGTGTGAAGTTTTCAGAAGAAAGTGAATGATATAACTAAAGGAAATGATTGTGTATCATGGATAGGAAGAAGCAGATCATGATAAAAATCCAAGTGATCAACAATGAACATAGCACCAACAAGCTAAGTAGGAACTATATCATAGAGATCAATTGATCCCTAGGGGAGAGAAGTTATCAAAATCTGTTTCATACACAAAATCAAACTATCTTTTCATGTCCTAAATAAATAAATTGAAGTACTCAAGTACGGCTAATTTTGCTCTGAAGACAGTTTTCTTTGCAGCTGCCTCGCACGCTCTATGCACTTCTATTTTTGCTGAACCAAGGGAGTTTTGGAGTGCGAGGATGAATAGTTAGGCTTGTGAGCTGCAAAGTGTTCTCTAGCAAGTATGTGGCAGGTTCAAGCCCAGCTTGATGCGCAGAAAACCCAACTAAATTTTTAAGGCATTGATAATGTAAACCTTGGTGTTTTGATTCCAGAGGGTAGTTGGGGTCAACTGTGGAGATTAAATCCTGCTGTACAATAGAGGCAAATGGTTCATATCTATAATATCTATAATATTTGGGTTTCTTTGTGAAACTCTTTTATACATTTCATTATCAACAATGCTTATTGCATAGTTGACTACCTGTCAACAATTATCAATCAAGCTAATTAACGACAATAAATTTTAAAAAAGGGTGATAAAATTAACCTAAATAAGTAACCAAGGCATTATGCTAAGAGCTTGGACACAACTATATGAAAATTTTATATTGTTTTTTTTCTTAAAATCATTGATTTCAAAATACTTTTTCAAATTTGTAATGTGTGTGTTTTCAAAGTGTCTTTAAAGAATATTTGAGTGTAGAAATTTTAAAAAATAAGGCTTCGTTTGGCAATTTCATATTTTAGCCATAAAGGCACTATAAGTCGTTACATTAATCTTTTTATTTTTTTACACATCTTTTTATAAAAAGTTAAAAAATTATTAAAATAATTTATTCTCAAACGAGACCTAAGACATGTTTAAGTAAGTGTTCGACAAGTGTTAAGCGGAGGGACACGTGCCTTTCCTTAACTTTTAGGAAATTATATTTGTAACTTAAATTTTAAAAATATTTTATACATGTGTATTTTTATTTTTTTTGAACTTTTTAAATAAATTTTTTTTGAACCGTACATTTTAAATATTTTGAACATTTTTTTAATACTTTTTAAACCTACTTAATTTAGATGCACTTGAAAAATAAATTATTAGTGATAAAAAAGTCTTTTAAAAGAACACTAAATACTAAAACATACAAAAAAAAATTAAGGTTGTGTGTGGTTCCGTTTTGGAATTATGATTTGAGTATGGAGTTGTGATTTGAGTGTGGAAGTGTGAGTTGAGTTTTGAAAAGAGAAAAATTTGTTTGGTTATGAGTTTTGAAAGAAATTTTTGAATTTTGAATTTTAAAAAAAGTTTTGAGTTGTATTTTGAGTTTTGAGTTTTTGAATTATGAGTTGTATTTTAATTTTATGGATCTATTTTTTTAAAAATATTAAAAGATGTTTATGAAAATTTTATTTTTTCATTTTAAATATATAATTTTTTATTTTTTTATTTTAAATATTTTTTTATTTTATAAATATTTTAATTTTTTTAATTTTAATATTTTAAATTCAAAACACAACTCCATACTCAAATCGTAACCAAACATATAACTCAAAAGTCAATTTAAAAATTATTTTCAAAACTAATAACCAAACACATAACTGGAAACTCCACGCTACTTTCAAAACTCTATACTTAAATCGTAACAAAACACATAACAAAAAATTAAAATATTTAAAAATATTTTTATAAAATAAAATAAAATATTTAATATAAAAAATAAAAAATATTTAAAAGAAAAATTATATATTCAAAATAAATTTTCTTTTTCAATTTTTTAATATTTAAAAAAATACAGCACAAAAATGTATGAAATATAACGGATTGGGTCTATCCGGTCGTCCGTTCGGTTGACCGGAACAGTGCAATTTATTTATTTATTTTTTTGCAATTGCATCCTCTTATTTAATATATATATATTTGTTTTAGATTTTTTTTAATATATAAATTATTTTTTAAAGATTTTTTATAACAATAATTTAACAATTCCATCACTAACAATTTTCAACACTATCATTAAAACATGCTTTCACCTAATCTCCTCACTAACAATCCACACATTAATAATCTCCTTACTAATAATGTCATCCAATTTAATCCGTCAAACAAACGTGGCCAATACTCTTTTCAAAACTCATAACCAAGCAAGTATTTTTTTGCAAAACTCATGACTTAAAATATGATTTCACACTCAAATCATGATTCTAAAAATAATTTAAAAAAATAAAATAAAAAATATTTTTTTAATTTTTTTTTTAAAATAGAATTTTGAAAAAAGTTTGGTTTTGAGTTTTGAGTTTTAAGTTTTGAAAAGAATTTTAAATTGAGTTTTGAATTGTGTGTTTAGTTATGAGTTTTGAAAATAATTTTTGAATTGAGTTTTGAATAATTTTGAGTTGTGTGTTTTATTAAGTGTTTTGAAAATTTTGTGTTGGAATTATGATTCCAAAGATTAACCAAACATGGCCTAATATATTTTTGTAATTATTCAGTATACTTGTATCTATATTATGTGCATTTAAAAATAAAAAATTTACTTAAAGTAATAAAAAAAATTACAAAATACAAGAAAACACAAAAATAAAAAATAAAAATCAAATTAGTTTTGAAAACTTAAAAGGCAAAACCAAACTGAGTATTTCTTAATGACCCAACCAATGTGAGAGTGGAATTGAATTAACCACTCCCTGTAATGATCTAATATTGCCGTAGTTTGGCACGTGGGTTAATTTTTTGACTTTTTAATTATTTTAACTTGGATTAAAAAGTATCGTTTGAGATAAATTTTTTTGACTTTTTTATTTTTTATTTTTATGAGAAAATAAATAAATAAAATGATTATGATTTAGATGTGACATTTTATCTTATTAACTTTTTAATTTAGGAGTTATTTAGGATGACCTAAATAAGTGTACTTTTTGTCTTTTTATGAAAAGATGTGCAAAAAAATAAAAAAGTGATGTGATGAAAAAAAGATAAGAAGATAAAAAGATAAATTATTTTAGAATTGCCAAACTTAACCTTATTTTATCTTTTTTATAATTAAAATAGTCCCAAACCAAACCAAACCATCATGCCAAATGAACCCATTGGCCATTTGCATCTCCAAACTTGAAGGTAATTTTATTAAAACATTTAAAAGTATGAATAATCACATTGAAATTTTTTTCAATTATAATTTGGAGGATTTGATGAAAAAAAATAAAAAAAACAACAAAACAAAAAGAGAAGAAACAATTGATAAGATTTGAATTCTAAACTTTATTTGATTGAGTTGAAAATGAAAAAAGAAAAGAATCAAGTGCACGCAAAATACAAAAAGTGAGATTATATTTCACTTTCACTTTCTTTTCTCTTATACTTTCCATTATATAATCAAACAAAAGATAAAATTATATTTTCTTTTCCTTTTCATTTTCTCATCAACATATCTAAACAAAACCGCTTAAGATATTATGGATGAGTACAATCTGAATGGAGCATAATGTTGCATTGCTCACATTTGAAGCCTATTTCGCTCCGAACTTTTTGGTGACAGTAGGCACAGTTAAAGATCTTGTCTGTGATTCGAAAAAAGATGAGACTGTGTGAGCGACTGTCAAAGTTTATAGGTGCTTCCCCACTTGATATTTAGAACTTTCTTTCTCTCCGCACAAATGCATTTGGCACAAGCAGATTGATCGCAATCGATGCAATGATAGAACCACCACTTTGGGTCTATTTCTTCCTCGCAAAATTCACAGATATACTCGTCGGGTCCATCCTTAATGGGTGCATAAATTAGGGTGAAGGGATGATGTTCATCATACCTATGCTTAATTGTATCTGGTAACACAGCACATGTGTAGTGTAAGTTGAAATTGCAAATGTCACATCCAAATGAGAACATCTCAATACAACGATCACATGCAGCACAACCTGCGGTGATACAATCTTTCTTTAGGAAGAGGGGATGCTCATGAACTTTATGAATGACGGCTTTGGGTAGGGAAGCACACTTAACATCGAGGTAGTAATTGTAATTATCCATACATTTACCCTTCTTACATCTGAAGGCAAATCCGTTGCAAAAATTTCTGCAACCTTCACAATAGAAGAATCCTCTAGGTTCAGGGGGCTTTTTGAGGAGGATGAGCGGGTGTGGGTGACATGGATGCTCCAGTTCATTTGGTAGCTTGGCACACCATCTGTGGAGAAAGAAATCACATAGACCACAACTGTAAAATGGAGCTGAAATTTTTCGCACACACGCATTGCATATTTTGTCCTTATTCAGCTCATTCAAGATAAGTAGTTCATTCTCATAGCACAAATTGTTGTCTCCTTGCGCATCGAAAAGGATTAATGGATGATGATGACTAAAATGGTTGAGCTCTGCTTCTCTCTTGTTGTCTTCCATGCTAATTTGCTTCAAAAATAGGTCAATTGCACCAATTGAGTCATCAGCCATTGGCAAGTGAATCAAATTGGCCTCGTCAATATTCTCAACCTTGATTGCACTTTCTCTTTCCCTAATTTTCCCTAAATCCACAAAATAACAATAGAACACATCAAATGAGGAGCAAAGCATTGTCAATAAACTTTTTCTTGTCAAAAGAGAATAAAAATCAAAATCAGGGTAAATATGAAAGCATACTTTGTCTGTGTTAAGCAATTGACATGAATGCAAAACTTGCATCCTATACAAATATATGACCAAAACCTTCCTCTCGCCAGTGAATTTTCACAGATATTGCACCTGTACGGACTAAAATTGGAATGATATTCATGAATACTATAGATGAGGGTGAGAGGGTGGATGTGATCATGGTGTTTGAAGGTGGGTGTTAATGAAGCACAGTCCTCATGGATCCAGAAGCTGCATGTGTTACACATATAAGACATGCCTTTACGTTCTGTACCACAAGCATGACATTCGAAGGAGGCCGAGCTGAACATGAGGCTTAATGGGTGTTTGTGACTTTCATGTTTAAGCTTCTGTGCTTTCAAAGCACAACATATGTCGAGGTTGAAATTGCAGATGGAACACCGATAAATGAATTCTTTCAAACATATATCACAGCCATCACATCTGAATTTATTAGGCACTACTTGGAGGAGGGCAAGCGGGTGCTCAGGGTGCATTGGGTGTTCCATCTCTGCGGGTTGTTCTGCACACAATTTGTGCAAATAGATAGAGACAGAGCAATTTGTGCATTTGTATGCTGCTGGACCTGTGATCTGCTGCAAACACACATCGCAAGAAACCCTCTCATCAACATCATTCTTCTCGTCTTCATTGAGGATCATCAACTGATGTTTACTGCTAAAATGTTGGCCTCTAACACTACATCTGATATCCACGTCAAAATCGCAAGGTGAACAATGATAGGTGAATCCACATATTTTTTTGTTACAAACATCACACCGTGTAGTAAACCTTGGTTGTCGGAGCGTAAGGGAATGGGCGTGGATCGGGTGTTTCATCACCTCTGGAAATTCAGCACAAAATTTGTGCAAAAAAAATAAACAATTTTTGCAACTGAATGCAGAACCAGAGATCTTTTCCCAACACACGTTGCAGACAATTGCCTCACCATCGTCGTTCACTTCACCGAGGATCAATGGATGTTTATGGCTAAAATGTTGAAGCTCCATTTCTCTCTCTCTCTCTCTCTGGTTTTTTGTCTGTGTTTGATGATGTAAGTTCAGAGCAATAAAACCTGTAGTGAAAAAGCAAAAGTCGGTTCAAAAAAGAAAAAGCAAAAGTTGAATTTTCCAACAATGAATTATTGATTCTTGACAGCTATTTTCCACGTGGCACAACAATTGCAATGTCAAGTTTAGTGCTCGTTTCGCATGTTAATTTGGATGAGGTTGGGTTTATTATATGCGCAAAAAAAATAAAATAAAATTTTAATTTAAAAATATTTTGAAAAGATGATTAAAAGTTATTTTTTAATTTTTAATCTATTTTAAATCACATAATCTTTCATATTTTTATATTTTTTTTAAGAAAAGTAAAAAAAAAAAGTAAAAAAGTAAATTTTAACTATCTTTCCAAAACAACCCTTCATAAGATAAAATATTATATCTAAATCATAATCATTTCATTTTTCCTCTCACAAAAGTTTAAAAATTAAAAAAAATCAATCATAAACAAAACTTTTTAACTCTAAACTAAAATAATATAGTCTCTTACTCGGAACGGACAACAAGACACCCTGGTGATCTCTTTATGGGGCGCTGCCTTAGACCTGCGAGAGGGTAGGAGGATTTTTCGAAAAAAAAAAAAAAAAAAATTAAAAATCAAAAGATTAAAAAGTCAATCCATATCCTAAATAAATCCTAAAATTAAATATTATAATCGTTTTTGGAGATGTAAGAGAAATTTGTTCATCTTTAATTTTTTTTTAAAATAGAAATTTTTTAACAATAATTAATAATAGATTGACTAGAAATAATAGATAATAATTTTTCTAATTCTTCTTGAAAATTAAAAATATATTACTCTAAATTATCATTAATTTCAATATAAATATCAAAATAAAAGACATAATAAACAAACATCATACTTATATTACAGAGAGTACAGGACAGTAATAAATTTTGTCTGTCTTTGACGAGTGTATGTTCAGAGCAATAAAAGCTGTAGTGAAAAAGCACAAAGTTGAATTTTCCATTAATGAATTATTGGTTCTTGACAGCCATTCAACAACAAAAATGCTAGAGGCCCCAAAAATTCTACCAAAAGTTTTACCAAATGTCTCACATGGGTGTGGGACCCACTGGGACCCACATTGTGTGGGTCCCACACCCATGTGAGACATTTGGTAAAACTTTTGGTAGAATATTTGGGGTCTCTAGCATTACTCATTCAACAATTGCAATGAAAAATCTGAAAGCAAATGGATTATATTAAGGCGTAGTTTGACGACTTGAAAAAAAAAAATAAATAAAAAATAAAAAAAAAAATTAAAAATTTATTTAAAAAGTTAAAAAGTTATTATTGTTATTTAAAATTTAAAAATTATAGTCGTATAACTCTCAATCTTAATTTTTCTCTATATATTAATTTATATAATTTTTTAATACATATTTTTTCATAAAAATTCAAAAAATTAATCCAAACATCCATATTTTTTTTAATCTTTTAGTCTAAAAAGATAAAAAGTACACTTATTTAGGACACTCCAAACAACCCTAAGTGAGAGAAATGCAAACAGAGGCTAGGTATGACATTCTCTAAAAAAAATTAAAAAGTTACTATTCCATTTAAGTCACATTATTTTATTTAAATCACATCACCTCTCAACAACATCATTTTAAATCTAATTCATATTTTAAAAAAGTCAAAAATAAACTTATTTAGAACTCCTAAACATCCCTAGGTCCACCTCGTCTGCAACAAACTATTTTACTAATTTTTTTGATTTTTTTTATTAAAATATTAAATAAAAAATTAGTATAAGTGAGTTGATACTATATAAAAACAAAAGAGTTAAGGTTTGGTAAAGCTCTTAATTATAGTTACATCTATTGATTTGGTGTGGTATTTGTTTTGAGCTTTTAAATCATAATTCTACACTTATTCTCAAAACTCAATTCAAAACATAATCATTACTTTTCAAAACTTATAACCAAACGCATCATTCAAAACTTTTTTCAAAACTCAAGTCAAAACAATATTTTAAATATTTAAATATGTTACGATTTTTTTAATTTTTTAAATTTTTGAATATTTTAAATTTTTAAATATTACGATTTTAATTTTTTAAATTTTAAAATATTTTATAAAAATAAATTCAAACTCTATTTTATAAAAATATTTTTAATATTTTAATTTTTTTGTTATGTATTGGGTTACGATTTGAGTGTAGAGTTGTGAAAAGAGTATGGAGTTTTCGACTTATGTGTTTGGTTACGATTTGAGTGTAGAGTTATTTTTAAATTTAAAATATTAACATTTTAAATTATTTAAAATTTTTGAATATTTAAATTTTTACGATTTAAATTTTTTGAATATTTATTTTAATTTTTTACTTATTAATTTTTTTTAGATTATTTAAATTATTTAAATATTTATGATTTAAATTTTTTGAATATTTATTTTGAAAAAAAATTATTTCCTTTGTAGTTAAAAAATTAAAAAATTGATTAATGTTATTTTTTGTTAATAATAAATTTTTTTAATTGAATTTTAAAAAGAGTTTGGTTATGAGTGTTGATCAGAATTTTCAATAGTGTGAAAGTAGTGTATTTTGTTATGAGTTATAACAATTTGAATTAAGTTTTGAAAATTCTTTTTAAAACTCATAACCAAACAAATTTTCTTACTTTACATGTCAAATTAAACTTTCAAAACTCAATTCAAAACTCAATTAAACACTCTATTCAAAAATCATAATCAAAATTTGTTTTTACACTCAAATCATAATTTCAAAACACACAAACTCAAAATACAACTCATATTCTCAAATCATAATTAAAAAGTCTTACCAAACGGAGCCTAATTTTTTTAGATCATATTTTAGATTGGTAATTCATAATTTTAGTTTAAAAGTCAAAAAAATTATTAAAAAAAAAAACACCTACAATTTTATCTTACAAACTTATCTATAATTTGAAATCACATGGGTAGCGTTTGGTAACGTTTACGTTTTTTGTTTATGTTTACAAAAATTTTATAAACTGGTTTTTGTTTATTTTTAGAAAAACATAAACTATAAACGCGTTTGATTTGAACAAAATGTTTAAAAAATTTTAAAAACAGAAACTAAAAACTATGTTTGTTCATATTTATATTTATATTTATTATTTATGACAATGGGATCACACATATTATAATTGAAAAAAAATTAATTGGAAAAAAATAATTGAAAAAAATTTAATTGGTAAAAAAAATTAATTGAAAAAAAAGATTAATTGAAAAAAAATTAATTGGAAAAAAAAATTAATTGGGAAAAAAAATTATTGAAAAAAAATTAGCTGAAAAAAATTTATTGAAAAAAAAAATTATTTGAAAAAAAATAATTGAAAACTGAAAACGTAAACTCATTTTTTGAGTTTAGGGTTTTCACTCAAATTTATAAACTGAGACAATCATTTATAAACTAAAAAAATTATTAAACAAATTTTTATGACAATTTTTTAAATTTTATAAATATAAACTGAAAATTAAAAACGAAATGGTTACCAAACAACTCAGGGTGTCTGGTAAAAGCCTATCATCTCATTATTTTAGCCAAAATATCTAATAGTACCGAGAAGGATTTTTTCAAAATAAAAAAATGGTTAAGTCCTTTTGTATTTTCCCAACAACCCACTGACAATCACGAGTCCGGATCCTCTCCTTGAGGCCCTCTCCTTCATTTCCTACTGGCAACGGCTCAGATGAGCCGTTGGACATCCAACGGTTCAGATTAAAAAACAAAAAAAAACAAAAATGAAATTTCAAACGTTCCCGCCCAAACAAATTCAGCCAAACCCAAAGCTGTATAGGTTATACACGCACTTCTTCTCCTCCACAGAACCCACCTTCACCAGCGACCTACTCCCGATGGCAACCCAAGCTTGACGGCGACCCACTCCCGACGCCGACGACCCACTCGTGAAACCCAACCCAACCGATCGAGGTGAATCTTTTATCTATCTGCTTCACAAACACACAGCTTTCACGCTCGTCTCCTACACCTCACTGAACCCGTCTCATCGGCGACCCTCTCGACGGAGACCCACTCCCCAAACCTAACCCATTGCTTTGCCCTCATTCTCTCTGCCCTCATTAGGGAGTCTTTCTTGCTGCTGAAATGGGTGCAGAGATAAAAGAGCTTGAACAATGTCTGAAACTGCTGATCTCAGCTGTTGCAGCCCTTCTCCACGGGTCTGAAAGGCGAGAGTGTTGAACACTGTCTTTGCAAAGGCAGAGGTCTCGCGGGCAGAAATGGGGTTGAACATTGTCTGAAACTGCTATCCATCTGTTGCTGCTGCTGTACATCTGATGCGAACATAAAATAGCTTGAATTTGTTCTTGTTTTTGTGTGAACATGTATGAGGGTTAAATGTTTGCTGAAATTGTTTTTTGTTTATAGTTGCTGAAATTGGGCTGAAATGTGTGTTATGGCTTGTATTCACACTGAAATTGTACTGAATTTGTTGTTTATAAATGCTGAATTCTTGTTGCAACATATATGACTGTTCAATTCTTGTTGCACCAGTGCTAGTTAAGGTGGTTGTGTGTTCAATTTTTGTTAGTTTCTATTGATACATTTTTTTAGCTTTTCTTGATATTCTGCAAATGATTTTCTTGTAGAATATGTGAGTGTGATGTTCCACTTTCTTGCTGAGAATTTGGAAGGGGAAAAGTAAAAAAAACCAAAGAAACAAGGAAAAACAAAGCAAAAGAAAATAAACCCGCTTTTTTTACTTTTTTTTTCTTTCTTTTTCCTTCCGCTGTTGTGAGTGGTTCGAACAATCAATTGGATCAATTGGCAGTGTATATTTTTTCTTCTAATTCTCCTTGATCACTAATCAAAATGGACAAAATGATTAATCAAGTTCTGTATTTAGTTCTCAATTGTGGAAATGACACTAAATTAATCAAGTTCTGTATTTAGTTCTAATTCTCCTTGATCACTAATCAAAATGGACAAATTGATTACAATTTCCAACTCATTTGGTGTACGAAAAACACCATCTCAGAAACA